CCGGGGCCTCCCCCCCACCCCCGTCTCTTGCAGAACGTGGGCTGCGACTATCAGATCGACTCCCGCGCCGTGGAGGACCGCTGTGGCGTGTGCGGGGGCAACGGCTCCACCTGCCACACCCTGAGCTGGGTGTTCCAGGAAAATGGGCCCAACGGTACGGGCGGCACCCCCTGTGGTGGGGGGACCCCGGGCCCTTCCTCGGCCCCCCTGGGCCCCCACCGTCCCCACCTGGCTGTGAGCTTGGTCCAGGATCCAAGCCCATGAGACACTTGGCACAGACACAGTGACCTGTCCCCACAGGTCGTCCTCCTGCCCCGGGGACACCAGGGACCCCAGGGACCCCAGGCGGGGTGGCTCAGGCTCACGGGGAGCTCTCAGGCCTTCCCGAGGGTTACTGCCTTGTCAGGAAGCTTCAGAGTCCCCAGCCCCACTCCCTCCTCTCTGGGTGTCGGCAGCCCCACTACCCCCCTCCCAGCAAGGGGGACGTGACCGTTAAGGGCTCACAGTCTGATAGGGTCACAGGACCTTCTAGCCTCACAGATGCAGCGGAGGGAGGCCCAGAGGGCTGGGAGGGCACGGGAGGAAGAGGTCTCTGACCTGGGGGAAATCTGGGAAGACTGCCTGTAGGAGGTGGCAGAGGCATCACCCACAGAAGGAAAGAGCTTGTGCCACACACACACACACACACACACACACACAGCTTGGAGGCAGGAGGCCTCCGGTCGGGGCCTGCGAGGGAGGCAGGGTTAGGTCGCCTCCCAGGGATGCTGCCCAGCATGGCCGGCATCACTCAGACCCGGGGCACAGCCCGAGAAAACCCTTCACCACGGCTTCACCGATCGGTGCCCTCGCATCCCCACCTGTGGCACAGGGACCCCAGCGGTGCCCACGGCACAGGGTTGTGACCCGGGTGTAGTGCTCAGGGCAATCGCAGGCGCGGGATGGACGCCGGGAAGCGAGAGGACAGAGGCCCGTGCGGAGGGAGGGGGGTGTCCCTGGGGCCCCGTGGTGTTTGCTTATTTATTTATTTATCTCCAACGTTTACTTTTCAAGTATATATATATATTTTTTTAATGTATTTTATTGATTTTTTACAGAGAGGAAAGGAGAGGGATAGAGAGTTAGAAACATCAATGAGGGAGAAACA